ATAATAATCCTTACTGTCGTATTTATCCTGTTAATATGCTGGTACCTCGAGCTGACTGTCAGACACCCGATCAGTCTCTTACAACCGTATATATTTCTAAAGACATGTTGATGTTGAACCTAAACTCATTCAGACTCCCCTCTCTCTCCGTTCCCCTGCAGGTGAGGTGAAGATGGTGGACCGGCTTGCGAACAGCGAAGCCAACTCCAAGCGGATCGGGGTGGTGGAGGGCTGCTTCGGCGCCGCGGGCCAGCCGCTGGCCATCCCAGGCCGCGTGCTGATCGGCGAGGGCGTCCTCACCAAACTCTGCCGCAAGAAGCCCAAGGCGCGCCAGTTCTTCCTCTTCAACGACATCCTGGTCTACGGCAACATCGTCATCCAGAAGAAGAAGTACAACAAGCAGCACATCATCCCGCTGGAGAGCGTCACCATCGACACGGTGCCGGACGAGGGCGACCTGCGCAACGGCTGGCTCATCAAGACACCCACCAAGTCCTTCGCCGTCTACGCCGCCACCGCCACCGAGAAGTCCGAGTGGATGAGCCACATAGGGAAGTGCGTGGGAGACTTGCTGCAGAAGAGCGGCAAGGCCCCGACGGGCGAGCACGCCGCCGTCTGGGTCCCCGACTCGGAGGCGACGGTTTGTATGCGCTGCCAGAAGGTGAAGTTCACGCCGGTCAGCCGCCGCCACCACTGCAGGAAGTGCGGCTACGTGGTTTGCGGGCCGTGCTCAGAGAAGAAGTACCTCCTGCCCAGCCAGTCGTCCAAACCCGTTCGCGTCTGCGAGTATTGCTTCGTGCAGCTGACATCAGGAGGCCTCGGGCCGCGCTCAGACTCCATCGGCCGGCCGGGGTCAAAGTTCAACAGCAACAACCTGTCGGACGATGACGACGAAGACGACAGCAGTGACTGAGGAACGAAGCGTCCTCCCGACGGCCTCTCGTCCCCACGTCGAGGAGGAAATAGTTCCTTTATGGTGTCGTTTCTTTCTCCTCCCAGATGATCCAATCACGCTCCTCCACCTCTGAGGATTCATTCACTGGTTCACTTTGGAGTTCCAGTCTCAAACCAAAATATTTGATCTTTTCCTCTGATTCCAGCAGGGATACATGTTTTCATGAACACAAGTGATTAAACAATGAAATGTGGAATTAACGGGGTGACCAGCAGAACTCTGGGAAGAAGTCAGACTCATTCACCGCTCCCACTCTGCTCAGTCCGCCCCTTCTCTCTTGACTTTTAATTAGGCTGCAATTAGTCACTACAGAACACAATGGTGCTAATGAGAAACACCCTCTGTCCTCCTCCTAAGTTAATCTCATCTAAGAGGCTTCTTTTTCTTAGTTTTTTTCTTTGCATTTGTCCGTGAACTACACGAGGTGATTGCTTGTCATTTCTGCAGGGAAAAGCAAATGTTTGGGCTCTAACCTTTATCTCCTCTGTCCTTCAGGTATCACACCAAACGGGGCTTTTTTATAACACAGGTTTGGTATTTTTCTGCCCTATTTTGTAAACTTGTCTCAAGCTGAAGCAAAGATCCCTTTTTATAAATAACAAAATGTAGATATTACGCTAAACCCAGAGCTTTTCTAGTTGACCTAATAATATAGTTGCTTCTGACAAATCAGCTGAAGCTTGTCTCGCAGTGAGTGTGTCCGTCTCTAACACACTTTTGTGAGTTTAGTTTCTTAGCGGCTTAAAAAAATTAAATAACTCTACCGTTTGCCTATACGGTCACGTAGTGCCTTGTAGGAAATGGAGCTCGGCCTTCAGTAGGAAAAAGGTTATTTGTTAATGAATCCAGGCTGCAAAAAAACAGGCACCTCGCTATAGGGTGCCTCTGAAACACATTACACAGGATGGAGTTGTTGTGCAGTTTGGTGCGTGTTTGCAGTTAACAGAAGAGCAGAGAGATTACCGACCCGCAACACACAGGAAGAGTCCAAAGCAGACTGTTCCTGGAAAGTTTGTTTCCCACCACACAGTGAACTGGAACATGTTTGAGTTGTTAGAAAGCCAGGCATTAGTGTGCAGATGAGCTGCTGCTTGTAATGCTTCTGTAATCTGGATCTTCCCACAACCTGAACCTGGTTCTAGCCCCTGCCTTGGGTTTCCATTGTTTTACATCCCTGAACATTTTGGATCAATGGATAAACGTCTTTAAAAACGTGTTGTGGGTCGGACTACAGTGAAAGATTTTCTTTTTAAAATGTCAGAACCATTAGTTGATAAAAGGTCGACAGGGCTGCAACGAACAATTAATTTCTAACAAACACAGAAAATCATCTCATTTGAGAAAGTTAAATCAGACAAATTGAACATTTTTCTTCAAGAAATGACTCAAAAAGATTACTTTAATAGTTACTAATCGACCAATCGCTGCAGCTCTAGAGGTCGACTGAATGGAGCATAGAGAGAGAAAAACAGCAGACCAGCCCGTCGAACCTCCCGCTGCCTAAACTGGAATTAGCCCGGAGAGAGTATAATTCCAGCATTGGTGGAAAAACTGTTACATGACTACCCAAACTTTAATGGGAAATGTAAAGTGCACAACAAATAACAGAACAAGGCTGCAAACACAGGTCACATATTGAGAATATTGTGGCTTCGGGTTGTTTAAGTTCCTCCAATAGAAGAAGTTTCCTCCCTCTTGAACTGAACGCTTCCACAAAAGTGCAGATGCGTGAAATATTTGCCGGCTGTGATTTAATGTCTCATTTCATTTGAGACTATTTGAGATCAGGAACATGATCTAGAAACTGTAATGCCAGAGAGAGAGCAGGGAGGAGCAGTCTGGGTACTTGGCTGATGCCTCCAGTGGATGAAGTGAAATGCAATAATCAGGAAGTGTTAGGTTAGCGTGTGTTTCCCTCTCTAATCACGTGATCTTGCATCATACTCTGTGTAATAAGTTTCTCAGTATTTGAGGTGGTTTGCATTCACTGGAAAGAACTCGTCAGGAAACCAGCGTGTCGTCTTCCTGTCAGCGACTCTTCCCCGTGCTGCTCTGAGGTCAGAGGACCACGCCATGTCACAAAACTAACGCACCCCTCCTGAACTCTGCTGTGTAAACTTTCTCTCTGCCAACACAAGCTAACACGGCCGTCCTTCCCTCCTTCCTTTTATGTGTCCTTTCTCCCCTCCTTCCTTTTTTCCCAGGCACTTTCCTATGAGAAGCACAGTCTGATTGACCATGTGACGTGTGTGTGTGTGGCCTAAAATCATGTGATCAGACACTGAACCAGGAAGTGAAAAGGCTGCTTTGGGGGATAACGGCGAACTACCTGGCGCTGCCAACAGAGGGTTCAGGTTCAGTAACTCACAGATGTTCATGTCATCAGTTTCTCTTCCCGGTGACTCCTGTGAAGAGTTTCATTCCTTTTTAAAGAGGCGAAGCCGCCGGCAGGAGTGACTCAGCTCACTCTCAAAGAAAGGAAAAACACATGACCTAGTTTCCTATAAGCTGGTATTAATCATTCTGGGAGCCAAAAGCTTTTACTAAATGAGCAAATTATTCATTTTTAATCAGATATTTAATCCGTTTTAAGTATTTGACTCAGACACTACTCTGATGGTCCTTTCACTCTAATCGGGTCATGAATGGTGCTGTTGTGTTGCTGCACGTCTTTGGTCTGTATTTAAAGGGCGATACGCAGCCTCTTAACGAAGAGTTGATAACGTGATGAACGCTGCAGTTTCCTCTACCGGCCACTAGAGGCTCCAGCAGTGAGTCAGTCTCCATAAGGCCCTGTATTAAAACGCCCAACTTAGAAAAACAGTTTTGGTCTCTATATGTTTTTCTCATGACAGCTGTACCGGGGGGTGAATGTTAAAGAACTCACCTGTTTAAATTCTATTAAAGCCTAACAATGTGTATAACGGAGGGCGTTTGAGTGACAGTAACCAGGCTTCATTCAGCCGACGTCACAGAGACTGTAGACAGTTTTAATTATACAGCATATGGTTCCAAAATCCCTCCACTTTGACTATATAGTGCTCTACATTTACAGAACGGACGTTGGAATGAAACTCTTCAGGGCTGCGCTGTAAAAGTGATGACATGTCTCTGAAACAGGAACCGTCTTGTTTCACCTTCACCTGAGATCAAACAGGGAAAATAAAAAGCTGCATCTAAGAGACGAAGAGCAGCTCAACCTTTACGAGTGACACTCGTAAACAGTCGGAGCATTATCTTTGTACACAGTCCGTAATCTGCCTGTTTGACGATAAGCAGCAGAATGGGGAGAAGAAAGGGATCATTTTTCTTTTTATGTCTTTTTAATTTTACAGATTTAAGTTAATGTTTGTGTTGCTGCAGTTAAAGCGATTAGAGAAATGTTAATGATCACTAACCAGCTGTCCTTTATACTCGCTGTGGCCGAGGTGCCGAGGGAGGAGACGTCCTCACCGTCGAACCCCGGAGGTCCGGCCTCAGGTTTGCTGTGGATTGCACTTAACAAAGTTGGCACATTGACTTTGATCCAGGTTGAGTTCTTACTGCATACTGTTCACGTCCACAGTGACTCGCTGGGCGTTCTAAGATGAACCTTCATGTTTTAATCCTGTTGATTTTTGTACATTTGTACAGATGTGTTTTGGGTTATTTAGTTTTTTGCTGTACAGTTATGATCAGTTCTGAAATGACGCTGTTTCAGGTCTCCCTGTGCTCAGCCCTCTTCCTCCTCTTCCTCCTCTTCCTCCTCCTCCTGTCAGTCACATCTCAGCAGCATCTGCAGCTTTTTCTCTAAAAGGGGCGGTCTTCCTCCTTGGAGGTTTGAACTCTTCCTGTCAGCGCGACTACGTGCACTTTAGCAACCACTCGACTTTCTCCAGTGAGCTAATTTGTCGGATAAACCAGAAACCTCCCCAGGTAGATTTGTCCTGGAGAAAGGCGATTTCATGGCCATGAATACGGGTAACCGGGTTTCTGATGGGCTTTATACACGTACGCGTGTGCAAGACAAAGACTGCAGACGCAGACCGCCTCTGGAAGTCGTTCTCACAGATGAATTCAGACACTGTGGAGCCTCGTACTGTACCACAAACCAAAAATACAGCAAACGAAAAGAGACAAAAAGCCGTGTTTTTACTGTAGTATCCTGGTTTCTTGAGTGCATGTAAACGCATCGTTTGAGCGCCACTCTCCGGACGTCGGCTGGTAGACTGTTCTTCTCTTTATTGTCCCGCACAGTGAGAGCGGCAGTGCGTCCAGCTGCTTGTGTGTACACACTGTGAGCCTCCGATTACAGACGCTGATTCTTTTAGTAACAAAGCATTGACTCGGAAAATGTCCCATGTAATCAATCACACATGAAATGGCTTTGACTTTTATTTTCATTTGGAGGATTTTTCTTTTAATATCTGAGCTGCAGAACAAATGCTGGTTAAGTCACATGAACAGCAAAACAAACACGGGAGAAAAGGTGTTTAGCTTGTGTATGATTCTATTCTCTACTTTTACTACTTGTAGATATATGGATGCTAATTAACTGAAGTAAAGTCTTGAATTCAGTGTTTTTACTCTGTTTATATATTTTACAATATCGTCACTTTCAGAGCGATTGGATGAAACATATTGTGGTGTCCAACTTATTAAATGCTTATATAACTTAGTTTAAGGCTTGAAATTACACGCAATAATGAATAAAAATGTGTCTTCAAAAGACGATAACTCGTTACACAGGACACACTAGATCCACTGACCGTTCACTGAATATATCTGTAATACATACTGAGTATCTGAATATGCATAAATGGTTCAGTAGTTCAGACCTTTCAGCATTATCCCAGATTCATAAAGGCAGACGTCATTAAAAACACAGAATTATTTAGCTGTTCCAATAAACGTCGATACTAAATAGTGACAGGATTTAAATACTAAACTGACAACAGTTTTAAAAGAGAGTTTTAGGTAGACAAATTTAAACTTCGTGCAAATGTCCATCCAGCACAACTAAACTTAAATCTATCAAATAGGAATCAAGTTTTCAGAAACACATTGTAGTTTACTGTTCAGCCGTAATTATGTAGAAGTTACAGGGCGGCCGTGTTTTAAGATCCAAAAGCAAAGCCCACTGTTTACAGCGTGGATGCTCGTGGCGTTATTGTTCGAGGCGGCTCTTTAACTGCATCCAATCTTCGTTGTCTTGCTTGTGCGGCCAATTATAGTGTTGTTGTTCACACCCTGTGCAGCGGATATAAAGTGTGTCACTGTTTCAGCCAATTTACACACGGAGCTGTGCTCTGCTTCAGTTCTCATGCAGCAAACTTTCACAATCAATGGGGACAAAAAAAGGCAGCAGAGACAACAAATGTGACTGCTGACGCTGAGCTCATGTTGGAAACAGAAAGGCCTAGTAAGTTGACCCTTGAGTTAAACTCGTCTCGCAGTCCAATGCGTCCACGGGCTGAGAAATAAGCTCACAAGTGGAAGCGGTGACGTGAGCTTTCTTTTATTTTTGTTGCTCACAGTGTGAACACACACACCAGTTAGTGAGAGCGACGGGACTCGACTGCCTTTGTGCGAATTAATTAGGAAAAAGAAAAGCTGCAGATCCTGAGATTCAGTGTGGAAACGAAATAATGAGGAGACATCTTGGGACAGCTGAAAGCGAGATCATTGTGTGTTATTGTGCGATCTTTAATGTCCTCCCTCTGTTGCTGTTTGATTGTTTCATTTTTTTGTGTTTAGTTTTCATTTTACTTCTTTTTTTAAAAGCTTCTAAAAAGGGCTTCAATCAGAATGTAACCCAGCATATCATTGTTCATTACTAATTCCTCCAGAAACCTTTAAGTATATATATTATATATAAATAATGTATTGCTTAAAGCCGCACTGTTGTCTTGTGTGGATTCATTCAGCTCCTCTGGATTCTCTCATCAGAGGACAAACTGCGGCTCACAGGGAAACACATGGAGAGCTTTTAAAACAAGAGTTAAGGTCCAGTGTGAAGCACTGAGGAGGGTCTGTTGGCACAAATGGATTATAATGTTAATAGGTATGTTTTCAACTGTTTCTGTTAGCTTACAACGAGCCCTTCCAATTTGCACAGCCATGTTTCGAAGGGACAGTTTCTCCTTCGTTCCTGGAGGGAGAAGGTGAAATAAATCCTCCACACTGGACCTTTCAGGGGTCTCTAACTCAGATTGACTTGGGGCCACTGCTGGTATAATCATCTCATAGGAGCA